GTGTTAAAAGGTGAGCCTCTTCGGTCTTTGGGACAGCCTTCAAAAGTGACTTTTCTGTTACTGACCTCATGTAACAGAAAGCAAGTCCAGTCCATCTATAAATAACTGTCTCCTCCAATCTAAACTACTTTTAAGAAGTTAAAGCATTGCTCAGTGGTGCTTGGAGCTGTGTCCAGTTTGCCGAGGCTCTCTTTCCCTCTCCCTGTCTTGTATCAGTGTTAAATTTTTGCACCTTATTTCTCTCTATCTAAAGAAAAGTAACTAACATGGTACAAAAGGACCTTTCTTCCTTGTTTAGAACACATTTTAAGACAAATTCCACCATTCTTTCAAATTTGTGAGTACAAAACATTCATTATTAGCTCTTCATATGAAATATGTAAGCCCAGAACTAAAAATAGCAGATAAATAAATGAGCCGTTCAGTGCCTGGTGATTTTTTTTTCCTTCCACCTCAGAAATGACTCTTGCAGCAGGGAGATCATATTTATAAAGCTTCAAAATCATTAAATTCTCAAACACATATTCTTCTTTCAAGCATATTTTTTCCCTAATCATTTGTTCAAATCATTAAACCAAAGACTTTTCACAGGTCAGAATTAATGAACATAGGATGCTAAGCGGTGTATTGAAGTTTACATTTCAATTCTCTTCACTTATTTGATTCTTAATGCTTGTGGGAAAAAGAGAGAAGAGGTGTGAAAGAGGAGGGAGGAGCATTACATGATGCCTGATGCATACGTGCAGGACTTTACTGCTTACCAAGGGCAAACTGAGGCTGGGAGCCAGGTGGGAACTCAATCACACAGGTCCTCAGCATGGAGGACTGCAGAGAGAGGACTTGGTAGAACCCAAATATGAGCAAGTAGGACATTTCATCCACATGCAGTAGAGCATCTCCTGAGAGGATGCTTTGATATTCAGGAGCCTGTTACTCACGTTCTCCTCTCTAGGACAAAATATGCACCACCTGTTACTTATGGGAGGAGAAACTTAATTTTTTTTACTGTTTTCAGACAATTTGGCCCATGGTCAGCCAGCTCCAGCTCAGCAAAGGTACAGTAGAAGAGCCCGTCCATGGACTGCTGCTCACGGCATAGCAGCGAGAAGCAGAGAGCCAGGGAAGAGCCAGAGACGCAGGTGGATGTGTTCAGCCCACAGCCCCGGGGTCAGCCTCTGCTGACCACGTCCTTGCAGAGCTCCGGGCTAGGAGCACTTCTGGCAGTCGCCTGCCAATGAATACAGTGTGCCCCTGATCCAATTGTCCTCCAAAAGCCCAGCTCTGAACATGGAGAGCTTGGAGATGCATTTGAGGTTTAAAGCTTTACAGAGATCCTGACTCAAGCACTCAGTATGCAGCAACTGGGTGGGACAGATAGCTCAGTGAATTAAAGTGCCTGCTTAGGCAGATGCAGGAACTGGGATTCAATTTGATCAATAAACTAAGGATATAAATGTGAAACAATAATCTAATTATTGGTGAAACGTATGGGCAATGTATTTTAATTATTAACATAATCAGATGAACTGTTAGTTATGTTGAATAAAATTTAATTTTAAAGTTACACAGTGAGGGCTAGCCATATAGCTCAGTGGACTAAAGCTCCTGCTTAGGCAGATTCAATCCCTGGCGTGCTATGCCCACCCCAAACTCAGGGCGCACTGAGAGGGTGATTGAGACTAGACGTGGTGGTGTGTTCTTATAATTCCAGTGCTGGGGAGGCTAAAAACAGGAGAATCATAGAATCATTATGAATCCAGTCTACATAGTGAGACCCTGTAGACCCTGTACTAAAATACATTTAAAATATAAAAAATAAAGTTACACAGTGAATGAATCCTCTCACGATGAACAAGCTTTCCTCAAAATAGTTCTTCTTACCCATTTTAAGATGCAGCTGTAAAATTCAACTTTCTCATGCCACCATTTCTGTTTCAGCCCAATTAGAGATGTATCTTATAGAAGATCCTCAGCACGACAGGGTGTGACCTACTCCTAGCCCACTGACGGGCTCTGCTAGCATTGTCCACTGAAAGAGCCAGCCCAAAAGAGCCCCAACTTTTTCTTTAGTTAGCAGATAGAGTAGTTGTACTTTTTTAGTATTTATTTTTAAAATAAGTACAAAAATGATACCTTTAAAGTAAAAGAGCTGACAGCTTGCTCTTTCCATTTCCTTGGGTTAGGGGAGTTAAAAGACAGGAGAAACCTGACGCAAAGCCAGCTCTTCTCTTAACAGGTCTCGCCAAGGTCTCTCCTTGGCTGTGGGACTCACCCAGCGGCTGGTGACAGGCTAAAGACTTCCCCCACTTCCCCTTCAGCCTTTGAGTGCATCAAGACAATGGTGACCCATTCAACATTGTCCTGGAAAACCAGAGTGAAGTGGGACTGAACTCTGTGACCACTCCTCAGGTGATACAGAACAAGCCAAACACTTCCATGACAATTCTTCTTCCATTTCTATTTTGTTGTAGCCGTAACATGATGTACCCTGAAAATATCCAGATATAGACTAGATCTAAAGTCTAAATTTGAGAAATGAGCTTCAAAATGACTAACAAGGCATTCTGTTAGAAGATTGACTAAACTTCAGTAAAAGAACAATTACCCAGTATGTTCACTCAGCGCACACATTCTAAATCTCTAATGTTCACAGGGCACAGAGGTAATGAGGGCCTCAAGGGATGGAAATTCTCCAAGCTAAGGATCAAAGTAAGGGAAGGAATAGAATTTCAGTGACACAAGTTTGTTTAATGATAATGCAAAGAGATTTAAAATCATGTATACCTTTGAGAAATTAAAATACTAATGATACTAGTCAAATGGACTAGTTAAATAATACAATTTCCATCAAAACAGTTTCTTTCTATGATATTATATTTTTAAAATATAATTTTAAAATAAAAATCCAATCTTGTGTACAAAAATTAGATACTTATAGCTTTTTAGAAACATACGATAAAGTAGACATATTTCAAAAGTAAGCGGTATAGGATCATCTTATACATAGACACTGGTGTCTTCAAGACCAAATCCAAAGTGAAGTTCTGAACTATGTGGGGCAAAACTCTAAAATTTGTGAGTCTTAAGGTACTTCATCTGCAAAATAACAATCTCTCTGATGACCTTTATCTCTAAAACAATCCCTACCTTATAACTGTAATGGTTACACTGATACATGGTGTATGAAGAGTACTGTGCAAGCCCCAGAACATTCTAAAAAAAATTATTTTGCAGTCTAAAAACTTTCTTAAGAGTCTCAAGAAGCTTGTATTTGCATGAGCTCATATTTTTCATAGAACACACTGATATTTTCCACACAACAAATCAAAAAATGGAGATGTTTTTAGTTTTAAAATAAATTAAAGACAATAAACATGCTGTTGGCGTACATGTTTTATAATTTTTTTCTTTTCCCACAGTAAAGATTTTAGTAGGCACAGAGTGAGTTCCGTCTTACACACTTCCAAATTCCCTGAAGTCCGGCCCAGCCCAGCTGCACCCGCCTGTCTGCTCCTGTGGTGATCTGTTGCACTGTCCGGGGTCACGTAGTCACTGGGAAAGGCCACAAACCAGTCAGGAAGTGAGAATTAAACAGATACGACCTAGCCTTAGTTGGTAAAATCTCTACAAGGACTAAGTCCTCCAGCCACCTTCAGCTTGTTGTAATAGCCTAATTCATCACTCAATTGCCTGCTTATCCACAGATTCTCTTTGTACTATCTTGGAAAAGAAAGATGAAACCAGGAACCGGGATTAGACGATTGAACTAAATATGACAAATTTATCATATTTGGATAACGATACAGCATTGAGTAAGAAGCAGTTTACAAGTAATTTCACTCATCCAAAACAGAAGTGTTACAGAAAAATGTATCAGATTTGTATTATTAATTCTATTTGGAGAAAAACAAATATATTTTTGTCTTCACAAAATAAGACAATTTCTTTATTGCAAAAATGAAATGTAATGGAAGTGTCATTCTAATTTCATAGCTATAAAAATTAATAAAACCTGTGACAATGTTTAAGCGGAGATAGGAGTCAAACGTTAGCAGAGGAAAGCTGTAAAAGAATTTGAGGATATATGTGGGAAATACTGAGTCTGATGAAAAACATTTAAGAATATTTGGATAGTTTGACATCCTTTCAAAGCTGGATCATTTGGTTATTGACAAGACTGCATTTTCAAAATACATTGCTTCTGAATATAATTTTTCTGAATTTTTTTTCTTGCTTTAAAACCCAAACCATAAAACAAGGTATTTGCAAATCATATTTGGCTTTGTTATTGCATATATTTGACTTTTCAATTTTACCACAGTACTTCTAACTAGAAAGTGGTTCTTTTTATATAATGGGGTTGATACTAATTATTTTTAAGCTAGCATAGTGCTTTATACGTTCTAGAAGAATTATACCTTGTTTCATATCTCTGTTAGCAGCATTGAAAACTGAGAAATCAACATTACACTGAAAGAAAAAAATGTATTTAAAACTACAAAATAAGACCAGGCATGGTCGTCCATACTTGTAATCCAAGCATTTGAGAGGCTGAAGCAGGAGGATTGCCATGAGTTTGAGGCCAGTCTGGGCTACATAAGAGAGTTTAAGACAAGCTTACGTTACATAAACAGACTCTGCCTCAAAAAAAATCATTATAAATTAACATTAATAGCGTATGAATTTTGTCTTCTTTGCTGACTGGGCCATGCCCCAACAAATCACTTGATTGCAAATGTTGCAAAGCGTACTTTGAGGTTTGCAGGTGAAAGAAGTAGCAGTGTTAACATTAGTGCCTCTGCCAACCCTTTCCTGATGGAATATGTTGCACTTTCTAGTAGTGTCATTGCCCTAGAAGCCTTTTTTTTTTTTTTCTTCATATCCAGATACTCTGAGGAAAAGCACAAACACCTACAGGATTTTTATTTTAGAAGAGAGCTGCTTATTTGGATAGAAAGGCTCACGGAATAAGCACTGAGAAGGTTTTCTGGTTCCCCCAGGTTCTCCGCAGCAAGAGCTTGCTGGAGTCCACAGACTACTGGTTACAGAACCAGAGAACGCCCTGCCAGATTGGCTTTGTAGAGGACAAGTCGGAAAACTGTGCTTCCGTAAGTATGCAGAATTTTCAGAGATTGGTGGATAAAGCAAGGCTAAGGGGCACACATCTCTGTCCTTAAGACAGAAGAAATGCCATAATCTATTAAATACAAGATTGGAAAAGTATTTTTTTGAAAATTTATGTGTAGTTTGTATAGACTGTTAATAGGATAACATAGAGAGCTAATGTTTTTTTTTTGTTGTTGTTGTTGTTGTTTTAATTTTCTTCCAGTTTTCTTCATTTCACCATGTAAGTTAATCTGGTCAATTCTCTGAAAATATGCATTTTCAAAAAAATGAACTAAGAAAAAGACAAATACAATTGTAGCTTAAAATATTTGAAATACATTCATCTTTATTGGATTGTTCTCAATATATTTTATAACACCTGATGTAGGCATTTTCCAATACAAAAATTGTGCAAATATTCTCTATCATCCTTAAGAATCATAGCAATTGTTTAAAAATCCTTTTAACCTAAAAAATAAATGTGCATGCATTTGAATACATGGGACCTGTGCTTTACACATAAAACCTTTCTTTGCAAAGAAAAGGTTGTTCTTACAGATAAGCAATACAATTCTTACATCATAGGCTGAAAATACATAATTTTAATGTGAATATGCTCCCTCTTATGCCTTCTGCAAAGCTGTGTCTCATTTTCATTGAAATCATCTAACTCTTATGGGGTCATGATTACAGAGATTGCAAGGAGTACTTCCAAAAAGGAAAAAAATATATATACTGTATTTCTTCATACTAAATTGAGAGCATCAGTTCTGAGCTATTCCTGGAGGTAAGTTGTGTGCCAGCATTCTTGTTAGAGAAAAGAAAAATGAGAAGCTGAAAATAGGATAGAGAGACTTTTTATACCAAGTGGATATGTACCTGGCAAACAGGGGGTATAAAATATTCTGCAGAGTGGCGGAGTCTCATAACACAAGGACTGTGTGGTCTATTCAGCATCATTTAAGTGCATCTTTCTTATGCTAATGATTGTGATTCTGTAGATTTTTGTACTTTTGATCATTTTTTCCAGAAAACTAGTTGCTGGCTAAAAATTTTTGTGGAAAGCAAGGTTAAGTTGCAAGTACTTTCACAGTAATACTTTAATAGTTAAGATAGCTATACAGCTGCATTCTCTTAATTCAATGAATAGAGAGATTTGTTCTAGTAGTGTCTGTGGACAGGATATCATGTCTGCATCTTGTACAATGAATAACCACTAAGACAATAATATGCAATGTATTAATTTTTGAAACTGCTAGTAATCGGTTTTAAAACTGTCTCATTGCCATTTGTTTCTCAATAAAATTATTTTTTTAAAAGTGATTAGGAAAGTGCAGGCATTTGTTGATATAGATATCTGATTACATAGCTATACACTGCAAAAGAGAAAGAAATAGAAAATGCAAGTTAATAATGGCCACACTTTGGTCATCCAAACAGTTTGTGTATTAGAAAGTCTTCCACTTGAAGAACACACAAGGTGAGATATTAAAATGGTGTCATGAAAGTTTTCTAAAATCAATTCTCCACATCTCCGTGAAAATAAAACTTTATTTTAAAAGAAACAAAAAGGTTGCATTTTAAAACAATGTCCTCAGAAAAGCTTATATTAAAAGACAATGTCATTAAATCATTCCCAACCTAACTCTACTAAAAAGCAAGCTAGAACCCAAAGAACCCACAACAACACTAACTTACACTGTATTGCTCTACAATCTGTTTGTAACTCCAGGAAACCTGCTCTAAGTTAATCGCTGCTATAATTCATTTGTTTCATGGTCAAAATTAGTAGCCACCTTTCCATGTCCAGTTGTAATGTTTCATATTCATTAGAATTAACTCCAAGTATGTAGATTTGTAGTTTCTTAAAACTGGGTACTTCTGTGTGCCCATGTTTTCTGAGTTTAAGATATCTACTTGAAATTTTTTTCAAGGATGATCTCAGTCTTAGAAAACAAGCAAGGTGTTATGGCCACATCTCAGGACGTAGGGTTAACCTCCAAGCGGCACAATATAAGTTCAGTTTCTTCAGTATGGAACCTTAGCCACTGTGCATCTCATATGAAGAGTGAAAGTCAGTGAAAGTCAGTGTGGCGCAGGCAGAAGCACGCTCAGCACTCCAACTGTGAGCTGCTGGCCCGGTGAGACACTGGAAGTCACTTTCTGTAGTTTTTTAAAGGGTATCCAGTACAAAAATTCTTTCCATCCTCCTTTCAAACACTATAATGCATTTTTGAAAATTTTCCATTTAGGGAAGAAGGCATACTCATATATTAACCTCCAAGGTATTTTTAATAGTTTGGAGTTTTATGGTTTTTGTCTTTTATTGGTCCATTTTTAAACCTAATTACTTAAGGAAAATAATGTAGAAGAAGAGAGTAAC